CACATGTTGGTATGGGATATTGTATTTGTTTTAATGTTATATACCTATGTGGTATGTGACTTTTGTTGCCATGATGCCAGGTCTCTCTTGGAAATGAGATTTTGTTACCTGGATAAATAAAGGACTAAAAAAAAAAAAAAGAAAAAAAAAGAAAAAAAGAATGTACTTACAATATCATGAGTTCGGACTCGTAGCGGACTAGGGCATTTTTCTCCTGCACCAGCTTGAACCACTCTTGCATTAGTTTCGGATCGTCTTTCTTACCCATACCTAGATGGAAGGAGGAAGCACAGAGCAGCAGTGAGACTCCAGGTGGCTGCGGCACGACGCTCATGTCACACAGACGAGGACTGACACAGGCAATGCAATGACAGCCAAGCCGGGATGTCCTTACAGAGGGATGGTGAGGTGGAAGAATGGATTCGACATCAACGTGATTGGCCGTGCCATACCTAACGATGGCACTGAGAAGGTGAGGAGGAGCTACGGGACTCGAATTTGGCACGTGTGCACATAGAAACACACACAATCCACATACAAACGCATACAGACGATACCTGTTGTTGTGAAGCTGAGAGTTTGTGTTACCCAGTTTGGTCTTTTCGACAGACGTAGCTACTTTCTGAGCAACTCCTATATGTTTTTTTGCAAGTGTGAGCAATAATAAAAAAATCACAAGTCTACCAATCAATAGTTAAGATATTAGAGAGAAATAAATCCAAGGACCTATGGAAATATTTCATCTTCCCCTGTCCACATATCGACCGACCAGCTGAAATGAAATCCTTTCAGATCCTATTCATGCTCTGTGGTTTTACGGGTACAAAATAGGTTGAATTATTCTGCAGTCTTTACATATTCAATAACGTACTGAAGTGTTATAGGACTTATCACTGAGACCAGTAGAGAAGTTCCCTCTATTCATCCTGCTACAGAGACGAGCATATTTAGTGCTGCTGGCATCATGCATTGCAGTCAGAGCGCAGAGCAGCTGCAGACTTCTCCTGTAGTCCCACTCGACTATGCAGAGAAGACCAGTGTATGGGGCATGCTTAGGAAAGGTCTGCTGCTGGGGCGATGCACCCTTTCATTTATCTGACTGCAGCAGGTGGAGCCAAGCGGTCTTGATGAAACACCAGAAGGCGAACCTTGATGCAGCGTGACGTACTTAGCTGGGGAAGAGGAGGCTCTTGCACAACGAAAAGAAAAAACATCGTACACACATAAATAGCATGGCTGCGGTCTCGGGCACTGGCTGCTGCTAATTGACAGACAAGGGACAGAGAGAGAGGCAGAGCTGGAGGAGAGCTGCTCACACTTAGAGCAAAGCAACATGAGAAGACAAAAACATGAAGCCTGATTTACCAGACCTATTCTACAATGGGAGCTTTTCTTCTTCCTTAACTACTTCTGTCTGTTCCACTGACACCACCCTTCAGCCAAGGCTCCCGTCACAAAAGAAACAAGGACAAAAACAACATGCCTTTCTTTTTGGGGGGATTTTTTTCCTCTTCACATGGATTGAAAGCTTCACTGACTAGTGTTAAAATGCACAACCAAACCACGTGGCCCACTCATGTTTAAGACTTACATAAGGCTGGAATTTCACAACAAATCATCACACCATGCAAGGTTCTTGCTGACAGGTGTCAGGTGGTCATTGCTCAGTTTGAACATTTTATGATTGCATGACATTGAAAAGATTTTATCAAAGGATAAGCCAGAAAATCCAACCAAAACATGCTGGTTAGAGTCACGCTGTGGCTGAGTAGTTACTAAGTTACTGCAGTAGTGCTTAGATGGTCTAAACCAGCGGTCCCCAACCTTTTTTGCGCCACGGACCGGTTTATGCCCGACAATATTTTCACGGACC